CCCCTACCCCCACCCCCACCCCCAACAATCCATCAGACCAAAAGTACGAACGGTTTTGGACTTTAAGATTGATTTCCGGATTGATTCTGACAGACTCCGAATGCGAGTTGGAAAAAAATAAAACCTCAAATGAGTACGAATATTCAATTCTGATTAATATCTTTTTAACGAATTTAATTTACTGTCCCTTAGTTTTTAGGAGGTATTATTAATAAACTATCATTTAGGATGGCTCTAGGTGAATAAAACAAAAAAATTCATCCAAAATCACTATTAACTAGAAAGTGTCTTAAGACGAAAAGCAATTAAATAACCCAAGGCTCATTGCATCATATCTTTTGCAATGTAATTTGTTGCAGTATACTTGAAGGACTTTTATACACGATATTTGAAGAAATATCTGCATGCATCAATTGATTGTTCAATAAAATCAGTAAATAATAATGCATTTAAGTCTAATCTATCTTTTTTTTAACTTTGAAGTTGAGCAGAAAACAATTTTATTAGTAGGTTCCCGTAAATCATTAGATACTAAACATTAATGCGATTCTCTTAATGTTCACAAATGAAGCCCCTTCCTACTAACTGGTGCACCGAATCTGCAGAATAAAACTGCGCGCCTTTTTGTGCTCATGGCGTACTCGGCAGCAATCAAATGGGAATTGCGATTGCAAATGCAAACTGTTTTTTCGTGGATGCTTGGAGATTTTGCAGGCATTTAAGAGGCTTAAAACTAAGCAACCGCTTAAGATGGTTATCATTGAATTGGAAAGCGCTTGAAGCATCCTTAAAACAAGGCTTTACTAGAGGCAAAGCATTTCTAGGTTCTAGTGTAGCAAAGAGTGGGGGGTGTGCGGTAGACTTACCTCCACGTGGTACACCCTGGACAACGTATACTAATACGGCAAAAAAGGTCTATAAATCGGCTGTTGACTTTAAACTCTGTAGGGCCCAAAGTCAGCTAAAGAGCTAATGATAACTATTAAAACGGCCTGTCATTTAAAAAATATATCAAAGAGTTTTTGAAAAGGAATTAATGTGCTTCCAATACAACTCTTAACCGGAAGAAGCATAATTGTATCTATATATTTTGCGCGTTAGTTCTGCAGACTATTTAGTGAATGATTAGTACATTCATTATAATGAAAAATAAATTTCTTTAAGAGCATTGCATCCTGTTAGCCGCTATCAACGAGATATTTTTTTATTTTTAGTGAAGAAGAATGTTTGATCGGTGGCCTATTGATCAAATTGAAAAGAACTCGAAACATTTTGACAAGATCTAGTGGGCAAAGAGAGAATTTAAGTCCTGTAGGTTTTATCTACCCATGATAACGTACGATCTAGTAATCCTATGTGGCTATTTTATTTCTTCCTACGTTTCAATATCCTCCCATTAAATATCAGTACAATGTCCAACGACAAAATTTAAGTGTAAGATTTAAAAATAGATCTAAAATTAACCAATGTTAAAGAAGGATAGGCAAATTTGCAAGCCCGATTCCAAGGAAAATAACCGGCATGCAGCAAAGAAGATAGAATAGACACTACCGTCAATTCTATTATGACCAGGCAATTTAAGTCTTTATTTGACCTCAATCCCGGTAAGAAATAATTTGGTAGAATATTTATTAAGCAGTAGAAACTATGCACTCTAACCAACAGGTCCCAAGAAACAACGCGTCTGTTCTTCCACTTGGTAATATTCTCAACATAATTTCTGATTCAATAAAAATGCATTTCTTTTCACTTCTAATCCATTGAAATGCTAATGACCCCAAATCCATAGGGGATTTTCAATGCAATATTAAATGGCTAAAAATCATAATGGAGAACACGAATTCTGTAACTCCTACTATTGATCAGACAGGAAACAGAATTCATAGGGAAAAAGTATAGTGGAATGCATTGAATAAAAAAATAATAGAATCATTAGATAGCCATACCGTATAATAGAACCCACGAATTTGCACATAAAATCTTGGACACGAATTATGTATGAAAAGCTATACTTGCATGAAGAGTACTCATTAATATTTGAAATAAAAAATGAACACAAGGGAGATTGATTCACCATCAGTGTCAGAATCTTATTTTAAGTGCTCAATTAGCCGATTAGACGCTTTTGTTTAAATAAATTTTTCCCACCAATTTGAAAAAAATGACATGACATACCAAAAGTCCATAGAAGCCATTCCTCTCTTCCCAGGGTAATAAGCGCCTGCCTAAAGGAAAATGACAAGTTGATGTTAGAAGCGGATTTGGCATTAACGCAAAGCCAAAGTAAAAATAAATAATGATGAGATTTTTATTAATTGTATGATAAAATTACTGCCAATGCGCATTCTCTACCTGTTTCTTTACCTCTCAATTAAAATATTGAGTCAAAAATCGATACATTTTGAGTCTTAACCGCACTATGGCAGCACATTTTGTCATATTAAATGCAATTATTCCAATTATCGAACAAATATTATTGCTTCCATCGAATTATCTACCCAAATTGAAAAACAAAGCTTTCAGCATTTAGGTCGTTGAGCAGACGATTATTATTGGCTATGGTGACTAATAGGAAATACGCCAAAGTGCTTTATAGCTTAGACTCCTTCAGAGTGCTTTAAATTTGACGAATTAAAACGCCAAAATTATTTTCGGAAAAAATATGAGGATGGCAGGGAAATGACGTAATTATGCAATAAAACGGATTATTATGTCATGGATATTACAAATTTAGTAGCTTAATAGTTTAAATCTCAATGTTAAAGTTTGTAAGGGTTCTTGCAATCACAAACAAAATTATACTTTCAAAATTAGCAAAAGCTAAATAGGAATGGAAATAAGGGGTGGCAGGCTGTTTCTTGGACTTCGAAACATGATTTGCATTCTTAACTTGTTACAGAATTAAAAAGTTAATATCTATTATTTTTGATTTAAGTGAATTGGCATTGAACTTGGTTCTGGAAATAGTAATTAAAACTCCTTAATACTTTCATCGAAAATAAGAATGAAAATGTGAGAACATAGTATTATCCAAGTGACAATCGTATTAACCGATTTTCTTAATAAAAGATGAGTTTTATTTCAACGCAATATCCGAGATAATTAGATATATGTCGAACAACTCAATTTAACTAAAATCCCCATCCCTAATAGGTAATGTCCAAGGTCAATAATAATGAATGCTGATTAATTAAAAAATTGCAAAAAAATCCGAGCTGTCGATTCCAAATCCCCCCTTTAAATCCTTATTGGATTAGGTGGTCTTAACAGGATGAAAACATTGGCCAATTTTTACCTTTATTGCCGATGATAAAAGGTGACACCCACTAAAGTTTGCGTGGTTGTTAAATAAATACGTGACGAGGATATATTTTTTCCCAAAACACAAGCTTCTAAGTTGGAGAAGGGTACATTTTTATTAGAATAGTAGAATAGTGAATTAATGCAACTTTCTTGCAAACAAAGGTCCATTTTTCTTGTTTTATGTTAAGTGGCCGTGGCGCCAAAATTAATATTCCTTTCAAAACTTTTTTTCCCAACATCAGGGACACAAATTTCCCGTCTGATATACACTTCTTGCAAACATTTTCAACTTTTCCGTAAGTATACAAATTATAGCATTTGCTTTACTTAATTGTAAGGTAAATAGCAATGAATTTAAAAAAAATTAAATTTAGAGATAAACTCACTTACGGCTTGTAGTAAAATAAAAGGCTTTAATGGGAATTAAAATAGAAGTAAACGCACGTAGGATTTATCAGAGCGAAAGATAGAATTAAATTTGCAGTTGATTTAAACAAGCGTAATAAACAGGAACATATGGATAAAGAACATTTAGTTTACTATTTTCCTCATTCTAGACCTATAAAAGTTCACGTACAATCAAAATATTTCTTTGCTTAATTTTAATTTCCAATTAGCGAAATATAAAACAATTGATATGGAAATTAGCCAAACTTTGAAGTAATGATTAGAAATGTATAAAATGATAGACATAATTAACTCAAATGGATCAATATAGTAATGATTGCAGTGAAATACAATTGGAGTAAACAGGAAGGAGTTTATTCCTACAATCAAAATTTGTCGGGAAATGGTACACAGAGATCGAATAAAGCCAATTGGCTTTATTTAATAGTCCAACACAAAATTTAATCCATTTATTGAAAGTACCTCGAGGAGGAATGAATTCAAAGCAACGAATACACATTATGCCTCGTCCAAAGAAGGTTCCTTATGGAAGCGAAACATTGATTATCGATCAGCAGAACAGAAATATGTATGTTATTAGAACCTTTTAGTACAGATACCGGACAAATAACAAAGCCCCTAAAGTACTTTGAGAGAATCGGTCAAAAATAATGGCCTAGGGTAGTGAGAATGCATATTAGAAACCCACCGATGGCATACTTTCATTCAGCCACCCCTACTATCGACCAGAATTTCCAATTCCAGTGGACTACGATCATCACTGGAGGCATATAGGCAAGAGTTAATCTCGTAAGCTATGGCTCGTCTATAACCAACAAACCACCTGTGCACAGAAATCGCTTGCGAATCCTTTTCAAAGGAGCTAAAATCCAATGTGGTAGCATTAAAACAATAATTCTTTAGATTTTTATTCCTCTTAGTCTGAGAGAATCATAATTTCAAAAGACTATTAACTCATGAAATCCTACCTCACTCACCATTTGCGGAATGTGGAAGATCCTCTTCCTGAATAACACCATAATCTACATCGCTATTAGCCATATCCAAATTTTTAGAGGAGTTTTCTGAAGTTTTTGCGTGGATATTGCCTGTATTTGGCATTGTGCCACCGGTTATTACAATAGGTGCTCTGTAAAATTTTTCCACCCAACCTCGACGGCGCAGTCCTTCTCGAATGTGCCGATAGGGTCCAAGTACAGCAAAAACCTTGTTTTTCTAAAAGGCAATTTTAAATAGCAGATAATGCATTGTAGAATTTTTTAACCACATTGATTGGTTGCACTGTTAAGGAAGTTTTATTGGACCAGTTAAAAATAATAAGCATTGAATGCAGGTATATGAAAAGATGTCATGTGTGTTTCTGATTTAAAAAGTCGACATACTTATCAAACCCCGTCTTTATGAAGTAATTAATGGTTGATCTCTTTGATTAATTAGAACGGAGGTTTAATATGTTGACACGATGATCAACAAGGAGAAGATCAAACGATGGTTCCTCAAATGGAATAAGTCAACACGGCTTTATTACGCACGAATATAACACAGAATAGGAGATGACAAACAGCATTTGTTGCCTAGGCGTTTTTAAAATTATTTTCTGAATGAGTTCGATCTCACGTCTGAATGCCTAAAGACAGTCAATGAATATTTCAGAGCTAATTTTGCCCATTCTTGAGCACCTTACACACGTCTAGATATTTGCAGAAATCAGCTGCTAAAATTAAAATATAACCACCGATATCTCCATTAAAGTGGATGTTAGCTAAATACAGAGTCTTGTTAAGGTGAGCGCAATTAGATAAAAAACGAGTAGAATTATGTGAATGTGAGCTATTAGTAAACAGTAGTCGCGAAGAATCGTTTCGACATCATACAACTTAGTAAACGGATAAAACGCCAGTGTTTTCCCATTCATACACTACTAAGACAGCCATCTTCTGGTTATTTCCCGAAAAAGCTCTTCCATATAGGCAGCATTAGTGTTATTACCTAGAATCCAGCCAAGACGCATTAATTAAGTGCACAACTTCTAATAAAACGTCTTCTACGAGTCATGGCTAAAGCTTATTGTCTTGGTTAATTATTAACATGTAAGAGCTTGAAATAAGCAGGCTTCTTGCATGAGTGAAATGCAACCCAAAATCGTAACAAACCAAAGCGGTCATTCGATGTTTTGTAAAAAAGGTCTTCCCTACCGGCACAAATCAATTTTCCCATGTAAAAGTGAGAAACTCAAAGGCCTTTAATTAACTCAACCAAACCCTTAATATGAGTTTCCCGTCTTCATTTCATAAGGAGTATGGGAACCTAATTTATTGGAGAACTTTAAGAGTTGTTCAGACTCAATTTGAGGTTGATAGAGTGATTCAAGGCTCATTTTTTATTCGAACCAACTTTAAGTTCAATAGCACCTTTTAAAGGTTTGAGAACTTTAGGTAAATGGCGGCTTGAATGCAATAAGGAATTGAATTCTATAAATTTCAGTTAATTGCATCTATAAAATTCCGTCATTAACTCCACCCCATCCCAAGTCAAATAAGCATTCAGTTCAAAAAACGTGAAAATAAAGAATAAATTAAAATAAAAAACGAATGAATTCTAATGAGCCATGACAATTTTCAACTAGACTTCGCGTCTCACAATTAGATCCCCATGAAAGCAAGAAGATTGGAGTGAGTCCAGATTGCGTGTCTGCCCACTCCATGAAATCTACTTGTCAAGGGCCTCGGTCTATTGTGAAGGAATGAACTTATTCGCAATTCAGAGATCATCCCATGATAATTGAGCGTCAAACCGTTAAAATATTGTTGATGGGAAATTATGCTCTCCTTAATAAATAACTGATCCGTCCTCTATGAAGCTTCGTGAAATTCCACGACTAACACTCGGATAAAAATTTCTATTACCATTAATAATAATAATAGTAATAAAAAAGTAGGATGATGTGAATTAGTTCACCAATTTTGCTGAAAATAGGTTAAAATGAACATGTGATGAGATAACCTAACTGGAGATAAACTCAGCGTCACCTCACAAATCACAACTTTTTTCTTAAAGGTCAGGAAGTGCACCATCCTAACTGTTGGATTGAATCCAAGAGAATAAAACATCATACATTTCAATTATAATATAAAGAAATGACTGTTCCACATTTGGATCTTACGAAATAAGAACGATATTGGAAAATTTAAGTATCTACAATTACTGGGAATTACTTGTTACAAAACTAATGCTAAAATATTCACCATTTTGGCATTATATCTAAACTCACTTAATAGCAAAACGGTCTAGCATGCTAAGAACTTAGAGTTTCAGAAGCCACGCTTCATATGAATTTTGTAAGCGTCACGCATTCCGATTTTTCAATTGAGGTACCATAGTGTTACAATCCCTAAATGTTGTAAACGTTCATTTTCATGAATAGAGCTTTAGAAAGATTCAATATTCACTTCACGAGGTGTGCGGTAGACTTAGCTCCACGTAGTGCACTCTGGGCAACGTATACTCATACTGCAAAAAGTCTTTTAACCGGCAGTTGGCTTCCAACTTCAAACTATCATGACCTAACTGTAAGTAATATTTAAACACTACCAATGTACTCACCTTTCCATTTTCCCTGCCTTTGTGTCTGTCTCCTTTATATATGTGAATCACTTTTCTCCAACCCCCCCCCCCCCCCCCCCACCTCGACTTTTTGTGATTTTGAGGTTCCTCCCCTCTGTGAAGTCCAAAGTCAGCTAAAGAGCTAATGATAACTATCAAAACGCCTGTCATTTGAAATAAATTAATATTTCCTACACTTGGAGTTTGCAGGCTTGTCAATTTACTAGAACGGTCAATCCTGCCATTTTGATTTCCTGCTTTGTTTTTCGAGCAAGAGAGAAGCTAGCTATGACTAGAAATAATTCTTTTTATCAACAAGAACTAACTAGAGTTTACTTTAATTCTGATTTAGAAGTAGCCGTCGGAGTCGACGACCGTTTCATCCTGAAGTGAATATTTTTAAATGGTTCAACTTATAAATTAATTGGAATAATTGTTAGATGGGCGGGAAATTTTAATAAATGAATGATAGAGCGTATTGATCAATTGCTTCAAAATCAGATGTATGCTATTTTCGTTGGGATCTTTAGACTGGAAAAGGCTTTCTTTTACAAAATGGTTTTGATAGTAGGGGGAATTATGCAGTAGAATATTAAATCTAGCAGATGACATAATTTGGTTTGTTTGAAAGATTTGAGCAAGGTGAATATGCCTTTCATTGTAATAACCAGGGAAATTGATACAGAAACCCAGAGACTTCGGAAATGAAACCATTATTTGCACACAATTACAGTTAACATGAGGTTCTTTGTATTCTTCAAAACTTACCCACTTATATGAGGTCGACTATAAAAGGAAGTTAATGGAAGCCGCATTTGATGCTTGTTTTCAAGACAGAAAAATACGCCCATGAGTTCTAATTTCGACCACTCATTCGAATTCGTTCTATTGGGGAATAAGCGAAGATACAACAAGACTATTAGAGGATCAGAGACTACAATTAATTTCAAGTGGAAAGATTTCTCTTAAACAATCAGGCAGCAGGAAGGTGATATTTGGAACAAAGTACGTAATTTAATATTCACTTAACCAGTTTATCTATTGCAATTAAAACGTGTTCTAACTTCTTGAACTGAACTAGAAAAGAGTACTCTTTACAAGAGTTTGTTTTCAGTCCTTCGAGGGTTGATTACAACTTAACCAAGATTCAACTTTCTTGCAAGCAGGTGGCTCCAGAACAAGACAAGTATTAGCTTTTGAGTAGCTTCCACTGCAAACTACTACGCAATGTCTGCTTTTTTTCAAAAAAAAGTTTTAATTTATATGCACATTGCGTGCTTGAGGGATATTTCCCCAGTCTACGTGTTTAGAAAGCTGGACAGTTTGATACGAAGATAAATATTTTAGCAGTTTTAAAATTAAAATAAAAGTAAAGTAAGTCTCTATCCACGGGCTTCATTTGGTTGCGCCAAGATTCAAATTCAAATTATTTGAAATTTTAAATGGCCGGATTTAAATTTAACAAAATAGACTAGGGTTACCTAAATGTTTGAGTCTTATATTAATTTAAATTAGCAGGGGGAAAAAGTCACAGTTCTGTGTTTTTTTTGTAATTTTTACTTATCGCAGTTTTTTTATGTCAAGGCTTCGGCGCGAAGTTGACAAACTGAAACAAATACGTTGAATAAAAGTACAATCCTCTGGAAGATTTATTGGTCATTTTAGCGATTTCGAATCTTTTGCCGATAAAAGCGCACTTAAGAATTCCAAATGAAATTTTTGAAATTTGATTTAATTGAAAATTCAGTGATTAGATGTATCAAGTAAGTGCTTTAAGCCTGATTATGCAGTTTAAATAAAAGTTAATAAAATTGCCAACACTGTCAATGAATCATAGTACGGCTTTTTCAATCCCAATTAGCTCCGAAATCCGTTGAAAGAAGACGATTTCTAACACCTTTCTTAGGCAGTTTTAAGGTTATATGTAGTTTTCGGGTGTAGTTTTCTCATTACGCCACGTATATTTGTTCAGTATTCCTAGCGGTCAGCTTTTCTTATTCCTCAATGTGCATTTATGAGCTCAAAACCCTGGTTTACATTGTATTCGTCTGATTGACTCCTGAAAAGCTTTCAATCATTTATTTGTTCGATCAATGGTGATCATTTAATGTACTTAAAATGGAGTATTCTTGACTAAAATATCACATCAAGCGGCATTAAAATACTCATCTTAGTTAACTGACTTAAGATTGAAATTGAATTTACTTTACATTCTCCTAACAAACATATCACAGCTACTGAAGAACGTTAAACATTAAGATTAAGCTCAAGACATCTGTGTTAATAATAGCTAACAACGTGTGCCTTTAAGCACTTCACGATATTATCAGAAGGTAATTTCTGTTCGAAACACCAATGGCTGAAGTTCAACTAAACTCAAAGTTATAAATCACCTCTAATAAAAATACACGAAAAAGACATTGCAACTAGACATAAATGTCAGAATCGAGATGATCGAGGCTGCCCATTGCAAGCAAATGTTTATAGAGAGGAGCTGCCATTGTGCTACCAATTTTATACAGGTGTAAGTGCCAAAAATGGTATTGATGTGGTCATGTATTTCAATGACAGCCACCTCAACGAATCTTTGATACAGCAACATTGCATACTGGCCTGAGTCGAGAATCGGGTGATCAAATGACCCCTATTCATTAAACCGTACTTTCCTACTATTTTAACAAATACTTCTCCTATCGCTGCGGTTGCCTTTAATTAATTAATATTACCCCATATCATATTTTATTTTAAGCAAAATTAGTGCTTTATGGTTATTAATTTCAGTATAATGCCTTTGTTTTAATAAATGCTACAAAATACAAAAAGATCTGTCAAATGTTTTTAAACTATATCCTGCGAAAGGAAAACGGAATTCCATCGACAGCGCCATGTTCGTCTTCAAAATACCTCTTTCCTCGACTCCACTGAACTTATGTAAATTATTTATTATTCAAGGAAATTTTAACTGCAAAATTTGATAAAAGATAAGGAATTTCATTAATTTGCTTCAATATAGGATGTATAAAGTAAATTTTCTAAAGTCAAAAAGACGCTCAGTATCATCTTGAGTAGAGTTAATAGTCTAGACGAAATAAAATGAAAAGTAAATTTTGTTGTTTCGTGATCATTAAATTCGAACTTAGTCATTTGTTCGCATACTAAAAAAAGGAATTTTATAGGCACGAATTCATGAGGAACGGAAGTTGCCAATTATACATACATCGGATTCGAATTACAGAAAGAAATTGAATTCGACCTGGATAACTACGATCATTGTGCAGCTTGAACAAATTAAAACATTGAAAGGGTTTTAATTTGAATAATGTTATAAGGATGAAAGGTATAGAGGGAAATTCTTTATCCTAATCAGAATGAAAATAATTTGACTCAAAAATGTTTTAATCAACCTGTTAAGCGTTGGGTGAAGGAAAAACACATTGTTTCACATGATTCAGGAAGTAAAAAGAACTTCGCTTATTTTGGCTGCTTAATAAACGAGTTTCCATTGTATCAGTTTCACAGGGTTCATTACACCTAACAAAAAAATCGGGAAAGCTACTAGAAGTATAATTAAGAGTAAGAATATCATCCTAGTGGTTCCAACATATTTTTTTATAATTTATTTTAAGAATTTCATCTAAAGAAAGAGCATAGTTTAGTAGCATAAAATAATTTTTATCGTAATATAGTTATTTCCAATCGTAATTCTATCAACCAACAAAGGCTCTATTTAAAAAATTAATATAAAATTTGATATAAATACTGCAAATGATATTATTGTTGGGGAACACAGCTCACAGAGACCTGCCGTGGTAAAATCGTGTAATATTATTTAATTTCCAAGAAAAATATATTGGTTAGTAAATAGTACAGACAAGAATCCGTTCCAATTCAGGTGATGAATTGTGAGATTTAAATTTTTGAAAGCAAGCTGCTCATTTCGTAAATATTGACCAACTCGAAAACAAACTTCAAACGATTGCTATTTATTCCCATTTAGCATTTTCTTGACATATTTCCGTTCCATATCAGTCATCTATCAGTGCTAAACATTGTATTGGAGTATTAACTCTGTCTACATTAATAAATTCAAACATATAACTTCTTGCCTCTTTAAACAAATATCCCCAAGAGCATATGTCCCATCTTCTATAGCAATAGCTTTCAGCACTACATGCAAAGTCAATATTTCAGATGATTAAACTTAGCGACTAACAATTATAAAGGATGATTTAACTAGAATTCGGATTGGAAGTCCTAAATTTACATTAAAATTTAATTTTACTGACATGCTATCCATTGATATAAAAATAAGATTATATTAAATGGATCAAGATGACAACCTTAATCGCTTCATCTGCAATGGCTTTCGCTTTTGAGATGGCAGCCTGGTCAGCATTGAGCATTCCATTAGGAGGTTTTAGACGTCTTCTTGAAGCTAGAAGACAAGTTGCAGCTCCCACAGCAACGCCATCCATTCCTTCAGTACTATTATTATGTGTTCCAGTATCGAGAATTTGGAATGTATCACCTTCACTTTGTTTAGCTAATAGAGGTAAGGATGTAGTATGTAAATGAGCAGGTTTGGAAATTGGAAATACGTCAGAAATCTGTGACTGAGAAGAGCTTATGTCAAAATGTAATGGTGGTAGTCGGCAAACAGTGCTTCTATCAACTCGAGGTGTTTTATCAAGGGCGAAATGATAGATAACTAAAGGACTATCTTTGAAGGCTGGTGGATCAGAGATGGATAGTTCATCCGTTTGATGGAACGGAAGATGATTTGATATAAGGGGAACGATGGATACGAGGGGCCGTTTGAAGTATCGCCGGCTTATTTGACGTCTGTTGAGAGCTAACAAAAAGTAGACATAAATGCACTAGGATCTTTGCACACGCATTACGATTGGCTACTAGTTCAACCAATCAGGTACGAATATACATCCAATTGGTATGATTGTCAAATGATTTATTAATGTATAAACAAACGAATTAAATCTCACTCAAAGGACCAAAGAGAATGCTCAAATAGAAATCAAAAATATCAAATATATAAAAGATTAAACCTAAATCTTATTTTTATTATAAAATCAATCCATAAAATAAGTTACTTGGGGCAGAATTGTTCTTCATTGTCTTTAAATCCAATTTGTTACTCGTCGGTAGTTTCTGAATAAGATATTTTTTCGAATTTTTGATGCAAAAATTACTCAAGCAAGTTAAATGTTTCTGAGTGAGACGGCCAAAACCACCAATACCCGAATGATGTTGAAGAGCCATAGCTTAAGATTAAGGAAAGATATTTATAATCACAAAGTCGATAAGACCAAGCGTACAACACAGCTTCATTCAATAAATAGATATTCTTGTCTAAAATTAAAATAAATTAATTCTGACTACATGATTCAATCGTGATTAGCTCAAATGTACGAAAAATATACATATATCCTTTTGTAGAAAGATAAAATGGATAAATGAATAAATTGAATGAGATCGAGGTTACTAACATAATACCAACGATTAAACTCTTAAGAGACGAATTCTAAAAATGTATTCGAGAATGTATTTCATTCTTTTTTTGTCATAATTACACAAGATAAATTTTATAGAACTCCTTTATATCCACGTCATCAGCATTATTAAAAAAACTTGAATAGCGCCAACCTTTGCAATTTAAAAAGGAATGATATTCAGTAAGTAAAAATGGAAAATGACCATAGACAGTAATTGAAAATTTTAACTAAACTAATTGAACTCCAACTTTACCTTACCGGGCAAAGCAACCTTGATAACTTACACAAACTTTTCATTAACTTAAAGAAAATTTATTAGAAATTAGCAGAGATTCTTAGTTAAATATAACTTAAATTTAAAATGAAAGAACATCTATTTATTTTCTTTAATAGTTAACGTTAAGCACAAATTATTAGTTAATAGAAATTATGAAACAGTTTTAAGTCCAGTTGAGCAAACTTATTAAATTAGTACAATCCTTGATCATTGAAAAGGTCCAATCCTTCTTGATTCAACATTGATGTTTAGACAACAGATGGATTACTGACTCGATTTGAGCTTTGGAAATGAACAAACTATCTTGCATAATTTCGGGACTTGAGTTTCCAAATTGAAAAAAATTGGTATGATGAACTACTAAATCTGAAAGCATCTACATTTTCTTCGAAATTACTTTTGAGCTAAATTTTTGAATTTATGCAAATGTTAAATTTCTCAATTACCTTACTTCATGACTTCTAATGCCATTTTGAAAGTCTATTTTCCTCTTGAATATAATAAAGTTCAGGGGTGTGCTATAGACTTGCGTCCACGCGGTAAACCCTAGGCAACATACACTCATATAGCAAAAAAATGTCTATAAACCGACAGGTTCCTTCTGACTTCAAACTACCATGGCCCTACTGTATGCTATATTTCACAACTTCCACAGTACTCATCTCACCGTTTATCTACCTTTGTGTGTGTCTGTCTGTCTCTTCAACATCTATGAATCACTCTCTTGTTCCCCTTTTCGAATTTTTCCCACTTTGAGTTTCCTCCCTCTTTGTAGCCCGAAGTCAGCTAAATGAACAATGATAACTAATCAAAACTCCTGACATTTAAAACAATAATAATAATATTTAAGTAAAAACAATTTCCATGTAAATCATATTAAATTCTAATCCCATACTCTAACAAGTTGCAATAAATATTCCATCATTTGTTTCATGTATCATACTAAGGAATACGTTCTGTGAAAATTTTAATTGTATACATATTACTTGTTTTCTTCAGTTTATCATGTTTACAATCTTTCCATGGGAGTTTAAGCTGTTAATATTTGCTAATTTCAATATAACCCAAACCATAGGTTAATCCTGGTAATATTTGTTTTCAATTCCTTCTATTTTATCTAACTCGGAAATTAGCCTGACCAAATTGTGCATCTCTAAAATAAATAATAGTTTAAGGCCATTGGTCCTAAAAGGTTCAAATTGTCCAGAAGTTTAGAATAGTTTATCGGGTATTTGTTGTTACACCATATATAAAATTCTACTTAGCCTTTTCTACTTATATTTAAGTAAGTAGCAACACGATAATATATATATATCTCCACTTGGATCTTCCCTACTTTAATATTCAATTCTTCATCATGACCATCAGCCTTATAATGACTCCATTATAGAATGGAAGCTAAAATATTTAACCGGCTGTCATACGTTGCTTTCAACCGGATCAACATAAAAACGATTTTTTGTCGATGAATCGGATTCCAAACTAATTTTGTTTCAAAATTTTATATCTAAAATTAGACGCATGATATTACATTAATCTGTGCTATAAACGATTATACCATTACACTCAGCCAATATATTGATTTTCTTTTGAATATCATAGATTTTTATATTCATTCCAGCATTCCGGGAAAGCCTTTCCAATGTTTATACTTTTGACGTGGTGTTATTGGCTATTCTGCTCAATGTTCGTGCATCGATGTGAATCAAGCTACTGCTCCTTGACTTTCAAAATGTACTCTACCACTGTTGGGTTACCGAGGTCTATTATATTCTATATGAGCTTCGATGTTATTGACTGAGACTAGCTCCGCAAGAATAGTTTATTCATACATAACTAAGTCACATTTCAGACACCAGTCACCTTAACATCGTATTACTGAAAATGAATATAGATGGCTTTAAAGCCATTTGCAATTCGAATTATTTGATTAACTTAGGTGAAAATTAACAAATTACTTATAACCTGGCACAACGATTTTAAATGAAGAAATCACATTTTTATACGATTCGCAAAAGTTCACCTCCTTTATGAAGCCGGGAGCACAGCTGTAATAGCTTGTTGCTTAAAAGTAGTCCAAAAATGTTTGACTTTCTGCAATCTCCCATTCTCGCTCTCCCTCCCTCCCTCTGTTGTCATTTTTGAGAGAAATCCTATTTCAAATTGCAAAAGCTGTAGTAGGGGCCCCTCCTCTGTTATATTTTTTTTGCTGAATCCTCGTCTTCTCCACTTCTCTGTGCCCCCACCCCC